GATGGATGGATGGATGGATGGATGGACTCAGAGCTTTTTTTCCCACAGTGTTGCCTCAGGAAGGGTTCTTCATCTGCTGCAGGTTCTCCATCATGGTCTCCACTGCTGTCAACCGTCAGACTTTCATCCAGTCGGCTCTTATTTTCCTGAGGACGCATGAATTTGATGGTTTGGATTTGGCCTGGAACTATCTTGGAGCTCCTGGAAGTCCAGCAGGAAACAAATCAGGGTTCACTCTGCTCTGTAAGGTGGGCCAGGTTTTTTTCTTCTTTTATTGTGATTATGGAGATTATATATTTTTCTGTTGATTCAGCGATCGACCAATAATTGGATAAATGTTTGTTGACTTTTCGTGTTTTCTAGATGTAAATTAGTTTATATTTGTGATTAACCATTAGCCCCTGACCCACCTCCACTCCTGCCCCTGGTCATTTATTTAACTTCATTCTGCTCATTTATTCTATAGAATGCTGTGAAATACAATATTCTGAAACCAGGAGCAAACATGTCTCCTGGTGTCAGTGTTTACAATAAGGAACAGGACTCTTCTGAAGGTATATGGTGAACTCTCCCCCACCACCAGAGGGGTTATCGCAGGAGACATGAACCTGATCAAGTCTGTCTTTCTTTTTAAGACTTTTAGCTCAAACAAACTTGTTTATGGTTTAACTTTACTGCAGAATGTGATACTATGTTTGTGATAGTACATGATGTATCATGTGCTGTCATATACTGATTCTCTGTTGTATATTGTGACAGTGTCCTGTGTAACGTGGCTCTAAGAGCAGAGCCCGCTCTCTGACCTCTTCATATTGAACTGCAGGAGCTTTCAGAGGCCTTCAGGTCTGAGAGCAGTGGAAGCAGCAGACCAGAGCTTCTTCTGTCTGCTGCTGTCCCAGCAGATCCAGAGGTTGTTGAGGCAGGATATGACATCGCCATCATAACAAAGTACACTTTCCCCCATTACTTAAATGTTTTTCATAATAACTGTTATTATTGTTATTATTATTATTATTATTATTATTATTATTATTATTATTATTATTATTATTATTATTATCTAACCACTTTACTGTGTGTTGTCTGTCCAGGTATTTGGATTTCATCAGTATTAAAGCTTTTGACCTGCATGATGAGCAGAATAAAACAACAGCCCACCATTCTGCACTCTACAGTCACAACAACGAGAACATAGTACATGCATATTTTTGAATGAAACAATTATAGATGTACCTTCTTCTTCTTCTTCTTCTTCTTCTTCTTCTTCTTCAGACAACATTGACATACAGTATTTGAACAACAGTGGGCTCATGAGGAGCTGTTGTGCCAGATGACTAGCAACAAACTGCAATTTGCCATCTCCATCCATCTATTTATTTTTCCTGTCAGGATTATGTGGTGCAGTACTGGATGGATCATGGAGT